TTCTCTATCAACCTGCACCTCAGGAAGTCTTCCATCATCCCCATATCACCATTGGCAAATCAGTGGTCAAATCAGTCCAGCAGTTTAATTACCTAGGTAGCCTCATCTCCTCGGATGGTAAGATTGACGGAGAGATAGACAACAGGTTAGCAAAGGCATATAGTGCCTTTGGAAAGCTTCATAAAAGAGTTTGGCAGAATAAACACTTGAAGAAAAGTACCAAGATCAGTGTTTACAGAGCCATAGTGCTGTCTACTCTCTTATATGGATCTGAATCATGGGTCATCTACCGCCACCACCTGTGACTCCTAGAACGCTTCCATCAACGCTGTCTCCGTACAATCCTAAACATCCACTGGTCAGATTATGTGACTAATACATCTGTTCTTGAACAAGCAGCAGTCACAAGCATTGAGGCCATGTTGCTGAGAACACAGCTGCGCTGGGCAGGGCACATCTCCAGGATGAAGGACCACTGCCTCCCTGAGATCTTGCTTTATGGTGAACTTGCCACTGGCTGCCACAAGAGAGGAGCCCCAAAGAGGAGATACAAGGACTCCCTGAAACAACATCTCAGCCTTGGCCATATTGATCATCATAACTGGTCTACTCTGGCCTCCAACCGGGAGGTCTGGAGACACACTATCTATAACGCTGCTGATGCCTTTGAGAAAGCACGCAGGATCACCCTTGAGGAGAAAAGACAACGCAGAAAGAATCGTGCCTTGCAGAATATACCATCTAAGGAGTCTTTCTGCTGTGCCTTTTGGAATCGGACATGCCTGTCTCGTATTGGCCTTTTTAGCCACCAGCGCACTTGTGACAAACGTGGGTAGAGACTGTCAGAGACTGAAATGGTTAATGATTTATGCATTCTAGGAGACTTTTACAGGCTTTTGACTTGCATTATACCTCTGATGAGCAATCGGGCCCCTCCCTCCCTCCAGTGCTGAAGGTGCAAAGCCCTGAAAAGGCAAGAAGCTGAGCTCGCAGGTTTTTGACTGTTGATACCTCTGATGAGCAGTCGGGCCCGTCCCTCCCTCTGCTAATCTTGAAAGGCGGGAACCAGGCCAGACACAAAAAACCTCTGCGCAGGCCCAAGGAGAGGTTGGAGGCTCGAGGCATGACCTGTGACACTGACCATGGATATAATAATTCATAACTTCTTGGAGTGTGGGGGCTTCCCTCCTTCACCCCCAGCAGATCAAGGCCACCACTTCAACTGACAGACATGGAAGCTGCAACTACTAAGTTTCATCGCTGGACCCCGTGGGCGGTGACTATATACATCTGTCCACTCTCAGCTTTTCTTTCCCTTACTTTCCCTTACTCTTATCCTGCCTTTCTCTCCCCTATGCATTTTCTCCCCCCCCAAAGGTTATCTCTATGTCACATTGTTATATGACAGCACCCAAAATACTAGCATACCTGTTAATACAGAATTGTTAAAATAAACCTTATCGATATATGTTTTCAGACACGGATTATTCAGTGCTGTTTTACTCTAATCCACCCCAAGGGAATTATTGATAAAAACCTGGGTTACCCCCCCGCCTTTTCCTGAGACGGGTCATAACATTTTTGGCGTAGTCGGCAGAATCCTTTGGATGTGGTGGAGTAATCAGTGTAGTCTAAAACTGATACCGAGGGCGAGTCAAATGGTGACTGTCCCCTCGTTGTAAAATTATAGTAAGAATTTTTCTCCTCTCGGTGTGACCCGGGCACATCAGACCTGTTGAAAGGTTTTCTGGTGTGGCCTGGACCTGTTGAAAGGTTCTCTGGCACCTGGACCTGTTGAAAGGTTTTCCAGGGGAGAGTCAAGCTGACCCTCAGAGGGTTAAGGGGGAGAAAGACATTAACCCGAGCTGGGTTAATGATTGAGTCAAAAGGGATGACACCCCAGGTTGAGTTATATGGGGATTATTCCCTCCTGATGTTTGTCCTTGGTTTAGGACTGGGTTTTGTAGGTGCTGTTTTAGGCGTTGTCCTTAGAACAGTGCGAAAGGAAAGATTGGTTATTCAGAAATCTGTAAGTGAGGTGATAAGATCTCTTCAGGAGTCAATGAAGGCATTACAGGAGTAATTAGAAAAGGAACGCTTGCAGTTAACTGCTGAGCGTGAGGCAGTTCGGGGGGAGAGAGAGATAAACTTGTTGCTTCGGTCAGCCCTGCAAGATGAGGAGGAACAAAATGAAAGTCTGAAAAAGGTACTAGAAATGAAAAATTGTGAATCACGAGATATCAATTTAAAATACCCTAGACCGGTGGATGTTAACAAATCCCTGTACTCCTTTGGGGAATTGGAAGAGTTTAAGCAAGGTCATTCAGAGGACGAGGTAATACATATGCGTCCCCTCATTAAAACTGAAACCACTGACCAAGGGGCAGATCGGCAAAACTACCACACGAACTACTCCGTACACGGGGGAAGCACTGGCCAAAATTCAGGAAAAATACAGCCATAAGGCCAGTGAATCAGAGACTGAATATGTGTGGAGGGTGTCCCTTACCGGGGGGGATCGGATTTTGTTGAGTGAAGATGAGGCCAGAGGATTTTGGGGCCCAGGGGTCTTCCTGACCACAAACGATAACTGAGCACCATGGTCCCTGACCCAGAGAGCTGCCTACTGGGCAGACGGGTTAGACCCTATAGAAAGGGGAGATCCTCACACGATTAAAACACCCACAATTGGCCACATTGTAAAATGTGTACAAAAAACCGCATGTCTCCAATTAATGCATACAAAATTATTAGACCCACAACGAAATTTCCTAATGGAACTCGAGGCGGATCCACAGAGATTACCGGTCTTAATCCGAGGCCTGCCTGATGCGCTAAAAGTTTATGCTAAACAATTACAGGAGTGCATAAAGGCAACCCCCAGACCTAGAAGAAGGCGTGCTCCATCAGGAATAACCTGGTTGGAGATAGCCCAAGAATTAATAGCTACTGGTCAGCAGCTGGGGCTCTCTGGTATGAGTGGCCAGAGAATACACAGCAGGAGGGCAGAGAAGGTCCAAAAACCTGCCTCGCCAGGTATTTTTCATCAAAATGTGTCATCTAGTGGGAGAAAGAGATACAGTTTGTGGGTGGAAGGTATTGCAAAAGGAATTCCTCGAGAAGTGATGGATAAATTACCCACTGCTAATTTGGAATACTTGATAAAGCACTGGGATAAGATCAAAGAGCACAAGGCACCCCCTAGGGGCAGCCCCCCTAAGGAGTCCAACACTGTGATCCCCTCAGCCTCTCCAGAAACCGGACTAACCAGTTTGACCAGTTCTAAGTCAAGAAACTGGACTTACTGCTCTCAAGTAAATAAGCCAAAAAATGACCAGTGGGTTTATGAGAGAAAACTTACAGAAAACAGCCAGGGAGATATAGTAATCACTTTTCCTCTCGGCCCTTTTAAATCTTTAGTTGCAGTCGTGGTAGACACAGGTGCACAGGTCTCAGCACTCCAAACTGAAGCTGCTACTCAGTGTGGCATTAAACCAGGCAAAAAAAAGATATGGGTAACTGATGCTTTTGGCAAATCCCAACCCCAATACACTGCTCAGGTGAAATGCTGGTTACCTGGAGATGAGACAGCCACAGAAACTATCATGATTGTGGGGTCATTACCAGCTAACATCCTGGGGTTGGATCTATTAAAGGGGAAGGCCTGGACAGACGCCAGAGGGAGACAATGGGTGTTTGGTCTCCCATCCCCCTCTGTCCGTCTGTTGCAAACTGCTCCAAGTCTGCCTCCTTCTAAAATAACAAATGTAAACCCCTATCCACTCCCTTTGGGAACACGTGAAAAAATTACCCCAGAAATTGCAGAATTGCAGGAGCAAGGGGTAGTTGTCCCCATACACTCACCATCGACAGTATGGCCTGTCCATAAACCTAATGGGCAGTGGCAGCTGCCAGTGAGTTACCTCGATGCTGACACTGGTTCACAAATAGCTGCTGTACATAACAAAGCTGAACTGATTGCCCAGATTGCTGATGTCACCACAGTGGACTAGACTCAGACAAGTACTATTGTAATAGTCAATAAAGATCGAAAAGAGATAATTTGCTTATCAACTTATATTTGCAAAACTGTAGTTACAAACCGTAATGTTATGTTATCATGATGAGTGATATCCTGTTATGTTACCCGTAGATCTTAGATATATATGTATAAAACGATACCTAAGGCAATATGGGAGGGAGCTAACTATGTCAAGAAGGGGAAACGAAAACAAAACGACGAAAACAAAACGGAGACTGCTTCCCTAGCAATGGAGTAGAACATGCGCATAACCCCTAGCAACGGAGCAGAACATGCGCATAACCCTTAGCAACGGAGCAGAGCATGGGTATACAGAACTGATGACGTAAAAAAGAAGAAACGAAATTAAGGGGAGGACTTTGAGAAACGGGCAGTTACAACCCTATAAAAGACAGACTGAAACTTATTGAACTCGTGTGCCGTGAGGGAGCAGGGGTTTCCCTGGCCATCCAGCGCGCTGGTTTGCTTATTTGCCTTTTTATATAAATCTTTAATAAATTTTTGCTACTATATTTAAGTTTAGTGTTATTTACCTATAACAATTTTTGGTGCCGCGGCTTGGATCAGAGTTCCTGGGCAGTAGAAGTCCCCTCTGGGGATGTAGAACTCCCCTTTTGGATGATCCTGGAGGGAGTCCTACGGCACAGACTCTGAAATTCTGACCGAAAAGATTTAGAAAAAGCAAATAAGCAAATAAATTACTGCAGTTCCCTGTAATTTTTATGCATAAGCCCGGGCGAAGACTTACTCCAGGAGATAAGTAAGTAATAAACCCTCTTCAGTCGGGAGGGGTCCGTTTGGCAGGGGTTCAAACAGGGACTTACTCCAGGGAAGAGTGTCTTACTCCAGGAGAGAGTAAGAGTACCAGGTGCCGTCCGGTTGGGGAAGGGACCGTCCAGCGAGGAGTTGGACGAAGACTTATCCAGGAGAGGTAAGTATTTGTGAACCCTCTTTACGGTTGGGAGGGGATCCCAGAGTGTGAATAACTGAGACGTCCAGTAGGACGAAGTGAGTGGGACCTCCTAGTAGTGCAGTTCTCATATCCCCGCTAGGGGGCGAGTCACAAAAGGAGGGAAGTGATTGAAATGAATGTGCGTGTGTGAAGGCATTCTGGAAGATGGGACAGAAGAAAAGTAAATCTTCTACTCCCATGGGTGGCTGTAAATCAGTGCAGGACAGCCCTAAGAGTGAGGAAAAACCCAAGGAGAAAGGTGGAATGGGGGGTCATAAGGAGAAGTTGCAGGATACCCCACAGGAGAGGAAAAAAGTCGAGAATGAATCCGTGGTAAGGTTACCAACCATACCCCCAGACAGTCCTTTAGGAGTTATGATCAAGTATTGGAATGATTATCCCTCTAGAGAAGGAAAGTCGAGGGAAAAGATGGTGCATTATTGTATGGAAGTATGGGGAGGAAAGCAAATCAGACAGGAATATTTGTTTTGGCCAGTATATGGCTCATTTGAGGACTGGATATGTTAGGCTTTAAACCTGTACATGAATAGCAAAAAACCGTTTTGTGCAGAGGAAAGTGAGTGCGCTAGTTTATGGATAGGAGCAGACACTAGAATTTCTCTCTTCCCTTTAAGTGAAGAGAGAGGGCAGAAGACAGCTTATGACCTAAAAGAGTCCCGGAGAATACCCCCTCCATATGCCCTGTCTTTGTCCATGCCCATGGTGTTACCTCCGTGTGGTGCTGTAATTCAGAATGACCACAAGAGTGTATTCACTCCTACTGCTCCAGCAGAATTACCTCTCTTCCCTATTGAAACCCAGGAAGCCACCCTGTCGGTGGCTGCTGGAGTAAGAGACCAGTAAACCTTCTGTTCAATTCCCCTTCAAGAAGCGCAGCAATCCGCCACTTTCTCAGCAGCTCCTGACAGGCAGATTCCTAATATAATATCCCCAATGATCCCACAGTCCATGCAAACAGAGCCTTGTTCTCCAGGAGTAGTCTCTTTATCTACGAACAAGTCACAGCTGTACCCCCTGAGAGAGACTACAATATGGGGAGGAAGAAACCAGGTGGATAGGATAGGGTTTATATCAGTCCCATTGAATTCAGATGTCAGAGCATTTAAAAAAGAGATGGGAAATCTCCTAGAGGATCCTTTGGGAGTGGCTGAGAGGTTTGACCAGTTTTTAGGTCCTAGTATATATACTTGGGAAGAAATGCAGTGAATTTTAGGAATACTGTTCACTGTGGAAGAACAGGGAATGATTAGGAAGGCAGGAATGAAAAGTTGGGACCAAAGGCACCGGCAGGGTCCAGCTGCAGACGTTAAATGGCCCTTGCAAAATCCTAACTGGAACCATAATGATGAGAATCATAGAGGAAACATGAATGACCTGAGAGAGATAATTGTCCAGGGTATAAAAGAATCTGTTCCTAGAGGGCAGAATGTTACTAAAGCTTTCAGTGAATATCAAAAGAAGGAAGAAAGTCCAACTGAATGGTTAGAGAGACTCAGAAAGACTTTCCAACTTTATTCTGGTATGGATCCAGGTGATGGAATGGGACAGCAAGTGCTTAAGATGCGGTTTGTGAGTGGAGCATGGGCAGATATTAAAAAGAAGCTGGAGGACATAGATGATTGGCAGTGTAAAGAAATGGATGAATTGTTGAGGACAGCGCAGAAAGTATATGTGCGGAGGGAAGAAGAGAGTCAAAAGGAACAAGAGGAGAGACAGGAAGAATTACAGAAAAAAGAAGAAGAAAGGCAGAAAAGGCAAGAAGAAATGCAAAAGAAGCAGACAAAGATTTTAGTGGCAGCTATAAAAGGAGGACAAAGAGGAGACAGAGAACAAAGACGAATGATCCCTTGTGGACCTAATAAATGGGAACCATCAAGAGGACGTGTGGTTAGACTTAAGTGAGGTGGAGTGTTACTACTGTGGGCAGAGGGGGCATATGAAACGAAATTGCAGGAAGAGATTGCAGGACGACCAGATTTACCAAGAGGAATAGGGAAGTCAGGGGCTCTATTTGCTGGGGACCCAGAAGGATACAGAGCCCTTGATAAAACTTAAAATAGGCCCCCAGCAACAAGAACTCGAGTTCCTAGTGGACTCGGGGGCAGAAAGATCGACGGTTCAAAAGTTACTTTGGGGTTGCATGACCTCCTCAGACACAGTCCAAGTTATAGGGGCCAAGGGAGAACCCTTTAAGGTGCCCCTCATAAAAGATGTGGAAATAGAGGCCCAAACCAAATATGCCTTAGGAACATTTTTGTTGGTACCTGAGGCTGAATATAATCTATTAGGAAGAGATCTGATAATAGAATTGGGAATAAACTTAGAAGTGAAGGAGCAGAAAATATAAGTTAAAATATACTCCCTCACAGAGGAAGATGAAAAGAGAATAAATCCTGAGGTATAGTATACCCCTGATTCTGCGGGAAAATTAGATATAAAGCCGTTTGAAGTTTCTATTCGAAATCCAGGGGAGTCTATAAGAGTAAAGCAATATCCTATCCTTCATGAAGGAAGAGTTGGACTTAAGCCCACCATAGAACGACTTTTAATGCAAGGATTGTTGGAACCATGTATGTCACCCCATAATACACCCGTTTTGCCAGTAAAGAAACCTGATGGGTCTTACTGACTAGTGCAAGATCTAAGAGAGGTAAACAAATGAACAATTACCCAGTTCCCAGTAGTAGCCAACCCCTATACTTTATTAAATCAGCTATCCCCTCAACATAAATGGTATAGCGTAATTGACTTGAAGGACGTTTTTTGGGCCTGCCCTCTTAAAGAGAACAGCAGAGATTATTTCACTTTTGAATGGGAAGACCCTGACTCTCATAGGAAGCAGCAGCTTAGATGGACTGTCTTACCCCAGGGATTTACAGAGTCCCCAAATTTATTTGGACAAGCCCTAGAGCAGTTGCTAGAATCCTTTGAACCCCGCCAGGGTACTGTCCTGATTCAATATGTAGATGACTTGTTAATTGCTGGAGAAAAGTCAGAAGATGTTAGAGATGAGAGCATTAGACTTCTGAATTTCCTAAGTTTAAAAGGCCTGAAAGTATCGAAATCTAAATTACAATTTACAGAAGAAGAAGTTAAATATTTAGGACACTGGCTAAGTAAAGGACACAAGAGATTAGACCCCGATCGAGTAAATGGAATTTTGTCATTACCTATGCCTAAGACTAAAAGACAGATTAGACAACTTCTGGGCTTATTCGGGTACTGCCGACAATGGATTGAAAATTACAGTAGTAAAGTTAAATTTTTATATGAAAAATTGACAAAAGATGGGTTAGTAAAGTGGAGTGACAAAGACGAGGAGCAATTAGAAAAGTTGAAAGAGGATTTAGTAAATGCACCCGTGCTGAGTTTGCCAGACAATCGGAAACCTTTTTATCTATTTGTAAATACTGAGAATGGTACGGCCTATGGAGTCTTAACTGAGACGTGGGTCGGACAGAGAAAACCAGTTGGATATTATTCTAAATTATTAGATCCAGTAAGTAGAGGATGGCCAACCTGTCTGCAAGCGATAGTTGCTACGGCTTTGTTAGTTGAAGAAGCTATAAAAGTGACCTTTGGAGGAGAATTAAAAGTTTTTACCCCTCACAACATAAGAGGAGTACTGCAGCAGAGAGCTGAGAAATGGCTGACAGATAGTCGACTGCTAAAATATGAAAGCATTGTATTACACTTACCCAAATTGGAGCTGGAAGTAACGAATCTGCAAAATCCAGCCCACTTCTTATACGGAGAGCCTAAGGGAGATTTGGTACATGACTGCTTACAAGTAATAAATCTTCAGACAAAAATTAGGGAAGATTTAGAGGAAGAAGAACTGAGTGAAGGCGAGAAATTATATATTGACGGCTCATCTAGAGTAGTTAATGGAAATCGAAAGTCAGGATATGCAGTAATAGATGGAGCGACTTTTCAGGTCAAGGAATCTGGACCTGTAGACAGGGCGTGATCAGCCCAGGCTTGTGAGTTATATGCGCTGTTGAGAGCGTTACAATTATTAGACGGAAAGGCAGGCACTATATTCACAGATTCTAAGTATGCTTTTGGGGTAGTTCACACTTTCGGCAAGATATGGGAAGAAAGAGGATTGATTAATACCCAAGGTAAAGGACTTATTCATGAAACTATAATACGAGAAATTTTAAAGGCTTTGAGAAAGCCAAAGCAGATTGCAGTCGTATACGTTAAAGGGCATCAAAAGGGGTTAAAAGCTACTGTCAGAGGCAACAATCTGGCCGATGAAGAGGCAAAGAGGGCAGCTTTATTAGTAATGGCTAGTTCAGGGCCAGAGGACAGAGAAGTCCCGAAAAGTTTCAGTGACCAAGAGAAAGACAAATTGCAACAATCTGGAGCAAAAGAAGAAAATAATAGATGGTCATTAGCAGATGGTCGAGAAGTACTTCCGAAGGGGCTCGCTCAGAGAATAATGAGGAAATTACATGAACAGACACACTGGGGGACACAAGCTTTAGTGGATCAATTTGAAAACAAATTTGTCTGTGTGGGAGCTTATGGAATAGCAAAAAGAATTCTGGAAGGGTGTTTAACCTGTCAAAAGGTAAATAAAAGACAATTGAGAGAACGGGTACAAGGAGGGCGAGAAATAGCTAAGAGACCTTTTGAGAAAATACAGACAGATTTTACTGAGCTACCTAAAGTAGGAAAGTATTGCCACCTACTGGTGTTAGTGGATCATCTTACCCACTTTGTAGAAGCTTTTCCTGTAGCACGATGTACGGCCAAACTGTGATTAAGATTTTATTAGAAGAAATTATTCCAAGGTACGGTGCTGTGGCAGTGGTGGATTCGGATAGGGGACCACACTTTACCTCTAAAATAATCAAAGAGACAACAGAGCTTTTTGGAACCAAGTGGGAATACCATACTCCTTGGCATCCACAAAGCTCTGGTAAAGTGGAAAGAATGAATGGGGAAATAAAGAAACAATTGTCTAAGTTAATGATGGAAACTAAAATGAATTGGGTAAAGTGTTTGCCATTGGCCTTATTATATATCCGGACCCAACCACGCACTGACATGGGAATTTCACCATTTGAAATGATGTATGGGATGCCATATGATTTTGGAATCCCGATAGAAAATCCAAAGGTAGAAGATACCCTCTTGAGGGAATATATAATAGAGTTAATGAAAAGAAGACAGGAATTGAGGAAGAAAGGATTAGTAACTCAGAGACCCCCTGTTAGATATGGCAATACACAAAATTCAACCTGGAGACAGAGTGTTAATTAAGACATGGAAAGAGTCCTCATTAACTCCTCGTTGGGAAGGACCTTTTGTTGTTCTTCTCACTACAGATACAGCCATTCCTACCGCTGAGAGAGGATGGACTCACGCATCTCGTGTTAAAGGACCAGTCAACACACATGAATGGACTGTAACCTCTCAACCTGGGAATCTCCGAATGAAGTTCAGAAAAACAGGACTGGTAAATGAATCACTTTGAACGGGACGTAAGACCCAGCCTATACTCCTGGTTTGGGGTACCTCCAGACCTAACCTTAATAAGAGTTCAGTATAGCCCTTGGCTAAGCGGACCAATCACTTACCAGACTGGGGGAAGTGGATTATACCAAATTGCTGAAATAGGGAAAACTTTTCCTTTTTGTTGTGAACTTGAAACTGAAATTACTTTGCCAGAAAGACCTGTACGGAAAATACCCTGTATAAAACACCCAGGCTCAGGACATCAGAGTTGGGTCAGTTGTAAATGTACATTATGTGGTATAGAGTGGTATTGTGTAGCAAGTAGATGGAATACCCATTGTATGAATTGTCGGGACTTCCTTATTGCTTCTGATGAGCAACTGAGTGTTCTGGAAATTGATAAGTTATTCTGCGGATGGGAATGGTTGGTACCAGAAAACTGGGAAGTCTATAAAAAAGATTGGTACAAAACTCTAGAACAGTGTGCCATTAAATTTGCCTGGAAAACAAATTTAACAACCAACCAACTTTTAGAAATGCTAGAAAAGCATATAGAACAAACAGGTCTTGAGAAATAAAAAGAAGGATCGGAAAGTTATAAGGACCTTTCAAAAACCCATACTCTCCTGAAGAATATTGACTGCTGCCGAGAAGATATTGAAAACCTCCTTGCTCCCTGCAAAGGAGTAGACGAAGGAGGCGGAGCAATAATACAGTGGAGAACAGATATGGGAAATTATATGTGGATTGTAGTACTTTTGTGGCAACTTCCCCAAAGCAGGGAAAGTCCACATCAGCCGTACAACTGGACCCTGACCCGATGGGGCGATCTAAAAATAATTAAGAGTAATCTTACAGCAGGATCTCCCAGTTTCTCTGCTACACTGTGTCAAATAGCACCCTTACCGCGTTGTTCAAATTTGAAACCTTACTATCTTTGTCCTGCATCTAATCCAGGAAAAGGATATTGTAACTATCCTGATCAATATTATTGTGCATACTGGGATTGTGCCACTATTGCTTCTGCCTGGACCCCTACTTCTCGAGATAAGTACCTAACCACGATATGGGGACCACCTGGCTGCAAACATTCACAAGTTGTTTTGTCTAGAGGATCAAAGAGGTATAGCAATTGTGATTATATAACCCTCCAGGTAATGCAACCAGAGGACCCAGGATGGTTAGTAGGAAAAACTTGGGGAATCAGATACTGGGAACATGAAACAGACAGGGGAGGGTTGATATTCATAAAAAAACAAGAAATCACCCAACGCCCTCTGGCAATAGGACCCAATAAAATCATAAAGAAGAAAGAGGATAACTTAAACCAGAAGGAGAGTAGGAAAAGAAAGACTTTCACCGTCTCAACTGTCCCGACTGTTAATTTTAATAACTCTAGTGGAACCTTAACCTACACCAAGGTATATGAGAAAGCAGAACCATTATTAAAGTTAATGCAAGCGGCCTATTATACACTGAACCACACAGACTCTAACATGACTAATTCCTGTTGGTTGTGTTATGATATCAAACCTCCATTTTATGAAGGGATAGCTTTGAACACCTCATTTAAAATATCCAGTCAGGGCAACCCTACACAATGTAATTGGGGAGAGAAACAGATAGGAATCACTCTCCAACAGGTGAGAGGACAGGGAGTGTGCATAGGAAATGTACCTCCAACTAAAAAGGACTTATGCAGCTATACCATAAGGAAACTTGATAAAACAAAGAAATGGGTTATACCTGGTGGAGAAGGATGGTGGATATGCTCAAAGACTGGTGTAACTCCCTGCTTGTCTTTACGAATATTTAATGAAAGTAAAGAATTTTGTGTACAGATAACGGTAATACCCCGAATTCTTTACCATTCGAAGGAATCGATCTTTGACCATTGGGATGATAATAAACACAAGATACAAAAAAGGGAACCATTCACTGCCATAACTATTGCCATGCTCCTTAGTCTGGGAACAGCGGGGGCAGCGACAGGAATTGCATCCCTTGTTGAACAAAGTAAAGGGATATCATCTCTAAGAGAAGCAGTTGATGAAGACTTAGTGAGAATTGAAAAATCAATATCATACTTAGAAAAGTCTCTTACTTCACTTTCTGAAGTAGTTCTACAAAATAGAAGAGGATTAGATTTAATATTCTTACAACAAGGGGGGCTATGTGTTGCATTAGGAGAAGAATGTTGCTTTTATGCAGATCATTTGGGGGTAGTTTGTGAATCTATGACTAAATTACACGAAGGAATTCTTCAAAGAAAAAGGGAAAGAGAAACTCAACAGAGCTGGTTTGAATCATGGTTTAACCAATCACCTTGGTTAACTACTTTGGTTTCTACCTTGATAGGCCCCCCTAATAACTCTGCGCAGGCCCAAGGAGAGGTTGGAGGCTCGAGGCACGGCCCGTGACACTGACCATGGATATAATAACTCATAACTTCTTGGAGTGTGGGGGCTTCCCTCCTTCACCCCCAGCAGATCAAGGCCACCACTTCAACTGACAGACATGGAAGCTGCAACTACTAAGTTTCATCGCTGGACCCCGTGGGCGGTGACTATATACATCTGTCCACTCTCAGCTTTTCTTTCCCTTACTTTCCCTTACTCTTATCCTGCCTTTCTCTCCCCTATGCATTTTCTCCCCCCCCAAAGGTTATCTCTATGCTACATTGTTATATGACAGCACCCAAAATGCTAGCATACCTGTTGATACAGAATTGTTAAAATAAACCTTATCAATATATGTTTTCAGACACAGATTATTCAGTGCCATTTCACTCTAATCCACCCCAAGGGAATTATTGATAAAAACCTGGGTTACCCCCCCCCCCTTTTCCTGGGACAGGTCGTAACAGAGACCTTTCCCAAATCTTCGTTCGTGAAGCCCAGCCATGATGATGTAAATGTATTTACAGATATATACACATAAATATATATATATAAAAAAACCCCTTTATCCCTTAGTAAGGAACTTTTGGTCCCCTATGGAAGCATCTCTTCTTAAAAATCACAGGGAGAAATATATAATTGAGCTCTTCAAGTAACCAAGACAGAATTACTGATGCAGAACAAAACTATAGTGTCTTGTCCTGCTGCTGATGGTCAGTCCATCTTCTGGAGATGCATTTCCTCCTTTTTCAACCCCACAGATCTTGCTACTGGGACTCACTGCCTGTGTCAGTAGATTTTAAGACACAGTTGTGGACAGTGGCTTAGCTGGAGAACTTACCTATCATGTGTCCAAATGCCACTGTTTTGCTGTTTTTGTGAGAGGCAAATAACAGGAGCAAGCTGTGCCTCTAGAGGAGCTATGCATCTGGGAGGAGGACAGGAGTCTGTAGCCTGGTCAGGAGAGGGATTTCAGGGAAAGAAGGTGCAGGCAGCTGTCTGAAGGCTGGAAAGTTTCAGTGTTTGTAGCATTCAAGCTGTTTTCAATTTAAAATATCTTTTTCTTCAAGATTTTCTGCTTAAACATTAGGACAAGCAACCCATTTGTATGTAATTTTGTGAATGACAGTTAATATCCCCACAAAACCCTTGGACTCCAAAAACTGGGTCTGTAAGATAAATGCCAAGAAATCCACAGAAAAGTTTGAGGAATTGGTTTCTGTTCCCGTGCAAAGAACAGGTCAAATCCCCCTCCCATAGCAAGGCAGTGTTGTGTGTTTCAGTGAGCTGGAGTTAACCTTGGCCAATCAGCCCCAATGAACCCATCTGTCATGGGGATTTTAGCATGGACCCTCCTGTTGCTCCACCTGCCCCTCTGTTAGAAATGACTTCCCATACAAGGTGGCAGATGCAGATGTGTGCCTGAGGTAACCATCAGGCACTCAAGCTGCAACAGAGTAGGGACTAAAAGTAATGCCTTGGCCTCTGAACCATCTGGCTGAGGACAGGCATGGATTTACTTTTGACACGTCTGCTGTGGCAGTGGTTGAACACCAGAGCTGCTGGAAGTGAGCTTTCTTCTTGATTCCAGACCTGCCATGAAAACATAACTGCGGCCAGTCTAGAAGAAGCTCACCTCTCCCTCTGGCCAGGAGGGATGGTGGCTGATTGTCACTTAGGATGACATTTGGCTTAGCAATTTCAGTAGGACTGATAAGACCACTTGTTTATTCTCAACTAAAGCCACAAAAGGACTTATGTGAGACAACATTCCTGTATCTGTACACTCCCCGCTGCCTGCTGGGCTCTTCCAGGGCAGGGTAGGTTAAGGGATGCAGCCCCCTTCCAGCCCCAGGAGCACATACAGAGGAGAGATAAGAAGCAGACACATTCTGGGCTGCTCAGCAGAAAACCTGCAGCAGGCAGGGTGGGAATGTCTTTGTCACAGAATAGCCTCCGGCCTCGTGGTTAAAGAGCAGCTTTGAAACCTCTCAAGGGAAGAAAATTGGAGCAGATTATCCTGTGTTTATGGAGCAGATTATCCTGTGTGATTATCCTGTGTGAAATCACACAGCAGCTACAGGATGGACAAGGGATCAGACCCAGCCAACATGGGTTTAGGAAGGGCAGATCCTGTTTGACCAACCTGATCTCCTTTTACGATCAGGTGACCCACCTGGTGGATGAGGGAAAGGCTGTGGATGTCGTCTATCTGGACTTCAGCAAAGCCTTTGACACTGTCTCCCATAGCATACTCCTGGAAAAACTGGCAGCCCATGGCTTGGACAGGGGCACTCTGTGCTGGGTCAGGAACTGGTTGGAGGGCCAGGCCCAGAGAGTGCTGGTGAACGGAGCTGCATCCAGTTGGCGGCCGGTCACCAGTGGTGTTCCCCAGGGGTCAGTGCTGGGCCCAGTCCTTTTTAACATCTTTATCGATGATTTAGATGAGGGGATTGAGTCCATCATCAGCAAATTTGCAGATGACACCAAGTTGGGAGGGAGTGTCGACCTGCTGGAAGGCAGGAGGGCTCTGCAGAGGGATCTGGATAGACTGGAGAGATGGGCTGACTCCAATGGAATGAAGTTCAACAAGGCCAAGTGCCGGGTCCTGCACTTTGGCCACAACAACCCCCTGCAGCGCTTCAGGCTGGGGACAGAGTGGTTGGAGAGCAGCCAGGCAGAAAGGGACCTGGGGGTGCTGATCGACAGGAAGCTGAACATGAGCCAGCAGTGTGCCCAGGTGGCCAAGAAGGCCAATGGCATCCTGGCCTGCATCAAGAACAGTGTGGTCAGCAGGAGCAGGGAAGTGATCCTTCCCCTGTACTCTGCATTGGTGAGGCCACACCTTGAGTATTGTGTTCAGCTCTGGGCCCCTCAGTACAGGAAGGATATTGAGGTGCTGGAGCGGGTCCAGAGAAGAGTAACGAGGCTGGTGAAAGGACTTGAACACAAGTCCTATGAGGAGAGGCTGAGGGAGCTGGGGTTGTTTAGTCTGGAGAAGAGAAGGCTTAGAGGCGACCTCATCACTCTCTTCAACTACCTGAAGGGAGGTTATAGCCAGGTGGGGGTTGGTCTCTTCTCCCAGGCAACCAACAATAGGACAAGGGGACATGGGCTCAAGCTCTGCCAGGGGAGGTTTAGGTTAGATGTTAGGAAGAAATTCTTTACAGAGAGGGTTATCAGGCATTGGAACGGCCTACCCAGAGAGGTGGTGGATTCACCATCCCTGGAGGTTTTTAAAAAGAGATTGGACGTGGCCCTTAGTGCCATGATATAGTAATTGGAGTTGGATCAGGGGTTGGACTTGATGATCTTGGAGGTCTTTTCCAACCCAATCTATTCTATGATTCTATGATTCTATGATTCTATGATTCTATGAAAATGGGTCTCCCATGTCCTGGGAGTGTGCTGTGGAGATGGTAGAAACCTTTGCTGCCTTTGTGATGAGCCCTTCACAGGAGAATGCTACTGGCAGGAGCTTCAAGAGCACAAAATAGAGGAATAGTTCAGGTCTGAACACAGTCAGATCTTTGCGTTCAATGCCTGATGAAAGAGTGAGGTCTTTCTGGGCTTGCACAGGACAGTCACCCGGGCTGAGTGGTATGGACAGGGGAGCTAAGAGGGATGGCACCAGGGGAGTTTAAAGTCCTATGGAATTCCAGTAGGATTAGGAGGTGGCTGTCTCCTACACAGGAGTTTTCAGGAACCTGATTTTGGACTTGCATGCCTATATTTTCTGCTTAGGGTCCAAAAGCTCTTTTCGAGTCAGCTCATACAAGCTAAATATCCAAGGCAGCTGGTGCACTGGAGGAATAATCTGGGTAAATCTCAACAAGGGCACACACTCAGCTGCCTCAGCCCTGATCTCAGCACCAGATATGTACCAGGCTGCCTCTAAGAGCAGTTGTTAATCTCCCAACAAAGCCGAAAACATGCATCTCATTTCCTGACACCATCAGCAGAAGCTCCTACCTTTATACTTCCACCACTGCAAGCCCTCAGCAGCTGAGTGTAAACAGTTTCATGTGTCATGGAAATAGAAGTAACAAAAAATGTGCCCTGTTTGTTTTGGATTCGATTGATGAACACAATGACCAGGTGATAATTCCCAGCATGTGTCAACTACTTATGTTTCACACTTCCAGCTTTCTCTGAATGTTTTGTTGCTTCTGTGATGTGCTACTAACAAGAAGCTTCCTGTGCACGTACTTTGCAGCAAGCTTTCCCTTGAAAGAAAAGGTACATTTTAAGGCAGGTAAATGGAGAGCTGGTCACGATTAGAGCTCTACAGTTTCCAGCCATGTAAATATTTGTCATAGTTCAAATATTTTCTTCTTCCCATCTGGATGAAATTCTAGCTTCAGAGTTATGGGAGTTTTTAGCCCTAAACAAGAGATTCAAAAATAGCCTGCTCAGAGCATTTACATGGGCAGTAAGTTCTTGCTCTGCTTATTTCTAAACAGAGTCAAATCCAGACTCTCTTGTGCCAGGACACCAGACTACTGGCCACCTGGGAAGTTGTTTCTCTTTTTCTTCCCGCTCTGTCAAAGTTTTCTGTATGAGCCTTTTGCTGGAGCTGGGTTCCACTTTCAGGAAAACTTTTGGTTTTATTGAACTTTGTCAGATTTCCCAAGCAATTCTGCTTGCAAACGCTGCCTAAAATGGAAAAAAATATATTTTACTTTAACATGTCATTCTTTGAATTTTTATATAATGGTGCAATAAATACCAGTTGTGATTTATAAACATTAATATCTTCGGTCTCCTCTCCTGAATACCTGTTAAGCGATGTGCTTCTCTATTCTCATCCTGAGCTGCCATCTAGCTGCAGCCCTTAGCCTTGCTCGTGGGTCTGGTTTCGGCTGATTTCTCGTCTGCAAACAACAGTGGCCTTGATCCGAGAGTGAATATTGCGTGTTTGCTCCAGTGACAGGCTTTCCTCAATAAAAGTCTCTCCCCAGGGCAGGAAGGGATCTGACGGAGCCCTGCCCTCAGGGTGGCGACCCGGGGCCATTTTCGGGGGTAGGCTCGGGCTGTGGGGAGCCTTGTACAGGTGCGTGGCAGCGCCCACACACCCGCGTACAGACACGAGGACGCTGGCTGATGCCGCACGCGAGTTTTACTTCCACAACTTGAGCTCGCACGTGGAGATGTGCCGTTCTGACCGGTCCCTCGCCCCTCCCGTCGCCGCGCCTTCACCAATGATCCCTCCCACTCCCTTCGCCCCGCGCTCCGTGCGGCTCGCGACGCTCCCAGGCCGAAATTCCGCCGGGGCTCTCGCGAGAACGGGTGGCTCTCGATGCTCCCGGCATGCCCTATGTTTCCTCTTCTCCGTAGCTGTCCTGAGGTGAGGAGTTGTGGCCGTCAGCGAGCTGTCCCAATCTGCCCCCATCCTGCTCAAGGACCCCCTTGGAGGCGATGAGGGGGCGAGGGCTTGAGATCTCGGTCCGCCTGGCTTGGTCTGCTCTCCTGGTATTTGCGGAGCTGGCGCAGGGGAGGACGTTTAGAGGGTGGAGATGGCGAGTTTTGGGGTAGCTGGCTGGTGTGAAATCGAAGCAGGCCCTAGGGGGAGGCCATGGCTGTGGTGATGACTTTCTTAGGACACCTTTGGATTTAATTGTGCAAAGACAGTGTAATTTCTGAGCAACTCCTGTAGTTAGTTATCGGCAGTAAGGTGAACAATCCAGGGTCTGCTTGACTGTGTTAGAAGCTTTAATATGGGGTTTTGTAATTGTTTGGTTGTTTGTTTTTTTTGGCAGCTGAGATCCCAAAATGGTGCGTTACTCTCTGGATCCAGAGAATCCCACGAAATGTGAGTTGTTTTCGTGAATGTTTGCATAGGACTTGACCAAAGCCATTGAGATTTTAATTCCAGAAGTTCATCTTTTTTTTCTCTCCAGCATGCAAGTCACGGGGATCCAACCTGCGAGTGCATTTCAAGGTAGGCAGTGTGTGTATAGTAAGAAATGCAATTTCATATAGTTTCAGTTTGGTTTTGTTATTTTCTGTTGGGGCATTTTTTGAAGGAAGTGTCTCTTATTCTGTATCATTATGTGGTTACTTAAAGGTGGTAGTGTAGGTTATGGCCCGTGTTTGCTTTAGCTGCTTGTAATGGCTTTCATCCACAGGATCAAAAATAAGAGATTGTGTCCTAAGAGTAGGACACTCTAATACAGATAATAAAATACAGTAGGAAAACAGTTACAGTGAATTTAGCTGGAAGAATGGGGCTAGTGTCAGATGTGAGATTTGTTTCATTTGTCTTACTCTGCCTTTCTGGTTGTTGGGAAGCAACATTGGATTCATCTGCTCATGCTGCTGGTCAAAAAGTATGGCAGGGGAGGCATGCAGTGTTTGGCATGAGGACATAGGTTCCTATGGAAAAGGTTTAGGTGTGGCAGTGAATTCAGGACATGTTTAAGTTAACCACAAAACCAAAGCTGAGCAGATGCTTTTCTGCTCCACAGTGGTATATAATTCATGTGAAAAGAGATTTCACTTGATTTGCTTTTTTACTATGATCAGGTAGGATTATAGTTACTCTCTGACTTCTGCATTTAGTATGTTGTCTTAAGCAGTGATACTTCAGCTTTAATTTTTATTTCTGAGCCTTTTCTCCCCTTTATAATTCACTTACAGAGATACTTAAATTGCTTGTATCTTGTTTTCTCATCACTTCCTCTGAGGTGCCATATTTGACATTTTAGTAGGAATTTATCCTTCAGGCTCTTGCTTCTTTAGATTAGTGGCCAAGGAGGAGCTATGAAAAGTATAAATATTCAAATTTTATTTTGTTGGTTGGAAAGATCTAGCCATTAGGTAAAAACCAATAGATTTGTTAGAGCTGCAAATTCAGTAATGGCAGTCATACCAAGGGTTAAAAAAGTAGGTAGCAAAAAAAAAAAGTGTTTTTATTTATTCTTCATTCTTTAATTTAGGTGTGTGTGGGGGCGTTGTGTATGAGTACTTCCTTTAAATTGAGTTTGTAGCAAAAATAATAGGATCCAGGAAAGAGAGAGAAGTGGTTTTGCTCATGTAACTTGTAAAGATGTGTTAACAGCTTCACTATGTTCTGTATTGCTAGAACACTCGAGAGACTGCCCAGGCCATAAAGGGCATGCACATCCGCAAGGCCACCAAGTACTTAAAGTACGTAACCTTGAAGAAACAATGTGTTCCCTTCCGGCGCTACAACGGGGGAGTCGGTAGATGCGCCCAGGTGAGGTCTGAAATGAAAATGTGGGAAAGATGCTGTGGCTGGTTAAGAGAAAAAAATGAGTTTGAGATGGTATGGAGAATAGTCTGTTGTTGTTGATGATAACTTTGTATTAAAATACAGAATCATAGAATGTTTTGGGTTGGAAGGGACCTTAAAGATCATCTAGTTCAAACTCCCCTGCCATGGGTAGGGACAGCTTTCAGTAGACCAGGTTGCTCAAGAGGGAGAGAAGAGTTACTCTTAATTCCAGTACAGCATTGCATCTACTTGCAGTGTAAAGTAACTGATCAAATTTAATTGTTTTGTTATGCAGTCTTAATAGAAGGGGATGTAATGACAAGTTAACAGTGCCTGAAGGGTAAATTGTATTGTACTGGGACAAAAATGGAACTCTTGTTGTCTTCTTCCAGGCCAAGCAGTGGGGATGGACACAGGGACGCTGGCCCAAGAAGAGTGCAGAGTTCTTGCTGCACATGCTCAAAAATGCAGAGAGCAATGCTGAGCTCAAGGTAGGCCACATCAGTGTTACCGAATGCAAAGTGTTCATGTCATGCTGTGTGTCAGCACTCCCGAACTGGGTGTCTCTGATGTGGAAGGCTGGGTAACACCTGATTTGTCAATGAATCTGAATTGTATCGAGGTGTTGGTATACCCTTTGTTTGAATTAAGCTGTGTGTGTTTTTCAAGTTAAAATGGGAGTAATAATTTTTCACAGGGACATAGTTTGCACATGGTTATCAACTGTTTAAATGGTATTTAGGTCTCTTAAAAACTACAAAAAAAAGCAAAATGTGGACTCTTGGTCAGTTTGCGTCTTTGTAATATACTTGGTGCTTAATTTAGTCACCACTGCCATCAGAGTTACTATCTTAGGACACCTCTGGAGTAACCATGAAATTATAATTGTCTATTTCTGAGCCATCGGCATAATTTTAAATTGATTGTGATGCGTAGGGGGTAGTCTCTGTTTTTCTGACTTTGGCGCTTGCTTAGTTCTATGACACGGCCAAGTTCATCTGTTTTATTTGCCAGCAGTGGTGTGTGTCTGGAGGGATGATTATTCACATTTTTGCTGTGGAGATTATTTATTTGAAGATAAAATACAAGTCACAAATTTTATTCCCCTCCCTGACAGGGTCTTGATGTGGATTCTCTGGTCATTGAGCACATCCAAGTCAACAAGGCTCCCAAAATGCGCCGACGCACCTACAGAGCACACGGTAGGATCAACCCCTACATGAGTTCCCCCTGCCACATTGAGATGATCCTCACTGAGAAGGAGCAGATTGTTCCCAAGCCAGAGGAGGAAGTTGCACAAAAAAAAAAGGTACTGAGCGTCATACCCTTAGTCCTCTTTAATGTCAGCATCTGGAGAGCTGAGTGTTCATACTTGGCATTTTTCAGGCAGAGGGGTTGTGATGACTATCTTAGGACACCTTTGTAATACCCATGAAAAAGAGAGTTCTTTCTGAGCAACCTCAGTATTTATTGTGAACACAACATTGATAACTTTGGAAAATGGTTTTCAGGGGTTTATGTCATACAGGGAATTTGTTCTTCCCTTCCAGTCCATGTGCTGCAATAAAATTTAAGTTGTGAGCCTGTAAGCAATGTAGTACTTGTTGGGACACTTATGTATGTGCAAGTACAATCAGCAGGTCATTTTGTAAACAGGTGAAGAAATTTCTAACACTTCTCAGTACCTTCAAAAGACAACTAAATTTATTTGTAAGATGTTTTGGGAAAGTGTCTTCTTATTTTGCCACTTTCTCATTTTTGCGTTTGTTTTTCAGATATCCCAGAAGAAGCTGAAGAAACAAAAGCTAATGGCTCGGGAGTAAATCTCTGAGAGATGTACATAAATAAAATTAAAAAGTTTAGATTTATTGTGTGTGTTTGCTTAGGCTTAAGCAGGGTGTTGTGGGACAGCACGGTAGTCGGGATGCCTGTTGTTGCAACGCTGGGGATGCTGTTGACTTATCGCTATTATTTATATATAAAACGAGATAATTTGAAACACATGCAGGCGTGTACCCCGCTGCCCTGGCCCGTTGGGGCCAGCTGGCGGTGGCTGCGGCCCGAGAGCGGTGGCATCACTGGGCGCTAACGCGGCTCCCGGGGGCGGGGTGTGGGCCACATGATGCGAACGCCGCCTTCTCCCATTGGCCGCGAGTGAGTCGGAAGCATGGGGGTCACTTTCGGTGCGGGGGAGGAGGCTGCGGCGGCCGGTATCGGCGCTGGGTCGGTCCCGACTGAGGTGAGTGCGGGGTGGCCTCTGACCGGGACCGGGCTGCTCCCCCAAGGGTCCCTTCATGGTCCTCCGCTCCACTAGCCCGGCCGGGGGCTGGCCTCACCTCGCCGCTTGCTGCCCTTCTCTGTGGACAGAGCGGCTCCGTTAACCGGGAGCGAACGAGGTGAACCCCGAAATGTAATAGCCCATGCTGAGGTGTGGAGCTCTTAGATTTCAACGCGTTTGAGTGGAACTACACCGATTCGGAAAAATCTTTGTGCTTCCACCTTTGTCAGTGGGAGGGGAGGGGGAAACGCCGCTGCTGCTCGGTCATTTACTGTCAACCGGGATGGCTGGCTTGGCTTTGGGGAATATTTTAGCCTGAATGTCGTCCTATAGAGAGGCAGAACTGGAGCATATTGCATAAATTAGCCTTTCTAGACTAGGTCGTCGTTTATGAAAAAAAAAAAAAAGCCTTTTCGTCTGCATAGCCTTTTTTTCTGTTTCCATAATAGTTGACTAACATGGGAAACAAAGACACAATGTACTGAAATTTGCCATGTCAGGCATATTCTCTCTGCTGCTCCTAATATATGGTGGCTTACAGATAAACCCAAAAGCTGCTATCACAAACAAATAATCTTGCTATTAAAATCCGACAATTTGTCCTTTTACTGTTCTTTGTTTTTCTTGCTAACCAAGTAACAGAGCATCACCAAATCACAGAAGAAACTTGTGAGCAGTATTTCACTATATTAGGATGGGTATTATACTTCTAGTGGCTTGCTTTTATATCTGGCAGAGGTATGACTTTTTGGTCTGGAATCTTGACACAAAGTGGCTGCAGAGATGTGCAGTTGCCTTACAAGGACAGCCTAGGGTGTTCCCTCCAGCTATGTTCTTTAGCTGGTGGATGAATCCACAAGGTATTGTTGGAAATTTAGTATCTAGGAAGTTCTGGTGGAGAGTATCTGAATTATCTTTTTGAATGGCTTTAAAGGATTAACTCATTTGTGTTCTCTCAACTGAAGATTTCTCTCTGACTTCAGAAAGTAGATCCTGTAAAACTATATTTGAAGCAGCCAAAACTACACTTGGAAGTAGTCAACTAAAAACTGATATTCTGTTCTTCCATAGGGCTAAAAATGTTTAGGATAGCTTAAAAAAAAAAAAGTGAAACTGATCCCAGATGAAGTGTGCATATCTGCCTCTTCATTCTCCATCTTGGAAAGCTTTTGTTTTGCTTCTTAATGTAGGAATTCAAATAGCATCCTAGAAAGGAGGAATGTGAAGGACAAAGTTGCTGCTGTGCAGCAGAGTGTATAAATTGCTCATCAGCACTGAAATGGACACCTCTAATCCTACTTAACTGCTTCCTCTCCCACTTGTATCTTTCTGCCCCTGTGCTTTGGTTTTCCCCTTTTTTTTCATTGCAGATTTGAGGTTGCTGTTTTTGAAGACTTCCTCCTGGTTTTGGGAGAGAAGGATTAATTTTCCAACAGTTTGGCCAATTGTATGGGATTGGTGTGGGATCAAGTGATTCCTCCTATACAGGAGGAAGTAACTCATATTCTTCTCTCAAATCCTGACTGGAATTCTCTTCCACCCTCCCACCAACCTGCCTTTCAGTGGTAGCAAGCCATTGGGTGGATTAGAGTCCTGCCATTTAATTTCACCTTAAATAAAAAGAGAATAAGAAAAACAAACCTTTTGGACCCTCTGTTATAATATAGTAAGAACTGGGCTAATATCTGCAGCTTGCTGCTTAAACTGTTTTTGTGTGGTTTAAGCAAAAACTTATTTTCTGAATTTGTTTTTCTAAGTTGCAGCTCTAGGACTGATGAATTAATAGCAACCTGCTTTTTTTGTTAGAATATCAAGAATGTTTCCCTTGTTGTGAACTTTATAAAATTGAAACACACAACATTTTTGAAACATTGACAGCTAATCTATAATTTAAGAATCTTTTATGTTTGAATATCAACTAAAATCTTTATTTGTTATTTAAAGACTTTTCTTAGCTCATGGCATACAAACCCTGTCATTCTAAATTGTTTGTTTTCCTCACCAGCTTTGTCACAGAACAAGAGGAAGCCATGGTGTGCATTCCTTGTATTATCATTCCGGTCCTCCTCTGGGTCTACAAGAAATTTCTGGAACCGTATATCTGTCCCATTATTGCACCTTTCATTGAGCGCGTGTGGCCCAAGAAAGCTGTGCAAGAAAATAATAGCCACAAAACAAGGTCAGGAAGGCAGCGCTGGAAATCCACAAGCACCTTCAGCCACAAAGAGAGATCAGGAGGATGAATCTGGAATTTATAAAGTAAGATTAATGCATTTAGCTCAACAGGGAAACTGTGGGTAAAGTACCCAGCAGTAGTTAAGGGTGGGCATCACAGAAGAGTAAATTGTTGTGTGTTTTTACAGACATTTTTGTGGCTATTTTCTTATGAAAGGGAGTTGCTGGTACTGAGCCAGCTAGAAATAGTTGCTTCAAGACAGCTTCTGGTAGGTCTTGGAAGGATAGGAATTGCACTTGTTTTCAGAAACAGCTTAGTTAATTTGTTTTTTTTAACGACCGGCTATTCTTTGAGAGAAGAAAAAAGTCAAATAATTAGTACATCACACCAGATATATGAAGCAGAATTTAAATCCCCTTCCCCCAGTCTTCAGCCACCTCTGCCACTTGTAATGGGGGAAAATATTTAGGGCTTCTAAATTGTGCATTTATTATTATCTCTTCTATCAAAATGCAAAGATTTGTATATCTCGTCTCTGCCTTTATTCCCCTCCTGAAGCAATAATTATCTGTAAATCTAAAGAGACACCACCATTTTGGTTCTTGCTGCAGATTTCTTCATAGATCATCACCGGCCCTGCTTCTAAAAACCATTTTCATCACCAGCTGTTACTAGTCTGGGTGTGAAGTCCTTTTATTTGCAGTTTGAAAGCAATGGCGTTGCAATTGGAATTGCTGCAAAGAGGTCCACTGAAGTTTGTGACAAGAAAATGGACTAAAGGAATTCAATCCTAAGGATTTTATTCCCTTGTGTCCAATATGAACTGGTGACATTTCTCCTCTCACTTTGAGACTTTTTTCTTTGCACGTTTTAGCTGAATAAAACCCCTTATTGCTTACAGGAGAGAGTCTCTTTTGCCACAAAAATGGTGGCTAGCACATTTGTTAATTTAAAATGTTTGAAAACTGAAGTTCTTGTATTTTCCTCACTGGAACTACTTTTCATCTACCATCTATTTGTTGTGATTAGAGTTTATGTTAAATAACTTATGAATAAATCTAGCTTTGGAAGGTAAATGTATCTTAGCATCTTAATTTCACTAACTGCTAGTGCAATTCTTTAGGCTTTCACCTTAAAAGCTATAGCTGTTCTTGACCTTGCTAAAGAACTATGGATTGCACTGTGGTGACAGAGGTGTCATGGTTAAATTATGAAGAGTTTAGATTTTTCATGTCAAATCTGTGGATGAGCTAAAGGAGCTATGCTATATGCAAAATTTACTTAACTTACTAAAAGCAGAAAGTCTTGATATGATACTTCCATTAATTATTTTCCTGGAAATACTGTGTCTTTCTTTCCTGAAGAGGAACAGCAGAGGCATGATGCAAGAGAATTGTTGCTTTATATTCTATTGCAGTGGTTTAGAATGCTGCAGTTCTATCTTAAAAAAACCCCACTCTCCAACTAAAATGTCTTTAACATGCTTGTGGAATTTGAATTATAATAAACCAGGATTTTATTTAAAAATAAGTTGCTTTATAAAATTGTTATTAAAGCTTCTGAGCTATAAATATCTAAAGTGGTAACAAAATCTTTGAAACCTGGAGACAGGCCCCAGGCAGAAGGAGATCATAAAACTACTGACTTCATGATAAAGTCCAGCTTTGTCTCCTCCTGGGAAGATGCATTATGCTACTGACTTGCATCCCAATTGTGAACCATTTTAGATGTTCCTGTGCTTAGTAATGAATAAAAGTGAATTCTTGCTTTGTCCTCTCTGCCAAACCAGAGTGCTCTTTCAAAGATTCAAAACAAAACCATTTCAGCAGTTTTGGATTGCTATTTAGGATTTATTTTCCCTAAAATCCTACCTAAGATATGCCTAAAAAGGCACACCTTTTTATGCAGGCAGTCCTTGAACTGTCACTGAGGTCCAGTCTTGTTCTTGCAACTGTAATTTCTCCTATCAGATAATTAATTATTCTGATAATTAATTATGCCTGCCAAATGCCTCTGGTGAGGAGCATTGTTTCCTACCACTACCTGGTTTTGTCAGGTCTTGGGTGAATTGATCTGCAATGTTCACAGCTGGGTATCGAGCCCTTGTTACTACAACCATTGCTTCTGTAATGAGTTGAATCACAGAAAACTTGTAAGACACTGTTTAATACTGTTTGCTCTCCTTTAATGAGCTAGGCTATTCGTAAGTGAATTTGGTATTCCTGTTTAATCAGCTTTTACATCATCCTTGGAATATAATCCCTCATTGAATCAGCGTATCACAGATAACAGCTTTCTCTTAGACCAGTGAAGTACCTACCCACTGTAATATGAAAATCAGAGTTTATTATTCTGAGTGTGCACGTACA